TGCAAGTCCAAGTATGCCGTCAACTGTGAATTCAGGAAAGAAATTCAAGCATTCAGAAATCCCTTATTTCGATAATTCTAATATTAAAGGATACAGTACTTCTGTGCTCAAGAAATCGGGGAACGAGTACATTTAGAATTCGGAAATTCAAGAATATCGCCAATTTTGAATTCAAGAATACGGCAATTCGGAATAAGGACATTGAACAATTCAGGGATCCCTGTTTTGACAATTCAAGAATGTGGAAGTAAGGAATTCACAAGTCCAGAAATGCTGTCAACTGTGAATTCAAGATAGAATTTCAAGGATTCAGAAATCCTTTAATTAGAAAATTCAAGAATTAAAGGATACAGTACTTCTGTGCTCAGGAGATTGAACAAGACGTAAATTTGGGAGTTGGGAATTCTAGAATTCAGAAATTCAGAATCCCGATAATTGTGAATTCCAGATTATAGAAATTTGGAATAAAGAAATTAAAGAATTCAGGAATCCCTTACTTTGACAATTAGAGAATCTGGAAATGAAAAATTTGCAAATTTAGGAATGCCATCAACTGGGAATTCAAGAAAGAAATTCAACGATTCATGTATCCTTAAATTTGAGTATTCGAGAATTAAAGGATACAGTACTTCTGCGCTCAGGAAATCGGGCAAGGGGTAAATTTGGGAGTTGGTGATTCGATAATTCGGAAAGTCAAGAATCCCGCCAATTGTGAAATAAGGAATGCAGCAATTCGAATTGAAGAAATTCAAGAATTCAAGAATCCCTTACTTTGACAATTGAAGAATCTGGAAATAAGAAATTCGCAAGTCCAAGAAGGTCTTGAACTGTAAATTCAGGAAATAATTTCAAGGATTCGGGAATCCCTTAATTTTATAATTCAAGAATTAAATGATACAGTACTTCTCTGCTCAGGAAATCGGAGGAGTACATTCGGAATCCGGAAATTCAAGAATCCCGCCAATTGTGATTTTAGGAATATGACAATTCTGAATGAAGAAATTGAAGAATTCAGGAATCCCTTACTTTGACAATTCAAGATTCTGAAAGTAAGAAATTTGCAAGTTTAGGACTGCTGTCAACTGTAAATTCAGGAAAAAAATTTTAGGATTCGGGAATCCTTTTATTCGATAATTGAAGAATTAAAGGATACAGTAGTTCTGTGCTCAGGAAATCGGAGAAGGAGTACAATTGGAATCCGGAAATTCAAGAATCCCGCCAATTGTGATTTTAGTAATACGACAATTCTGAATGAAGAAATTGAAGAATTCAGCAATCGCTTACTTTGACAATTCAAGAATGCGGTAGCAAGAAAATCGCAAGTCCAGGAATACCGTCAACTGTGAATTTAGAAAAGAAATTCTGGGATTCGGGAATCCCTTAATTCGATAATTCAAGAATTAAAGGATACAGTACTTCTAGGCTCAGGAAATCGGAGAAGGAGTACATTTGGAATTCGGAAATTTAAGAATGCCGCCAATTGTGAATTCAGGAATACGGCAATTCGGAATAAAGAAATTAAAGAATTCAGAAATTTGACTATTCAAGAATCTGGAAGTCCAAGAATGCCGTCAGCTGTGAATTCAGGAAAGAAATTGAAGAATCCAGGAATCCCTTACTTTGACAATTCAAGAATCTGGAAGTAAGAAATCTGCAAGTCCAAATATTCCGTCAACTGTGAATTCAGGAAAGAAATTCAAGCATTCAGGAATCCCTTAATTCAATAATTTAAGAAATAAAAGATACAGTACTTCTGTGCTCAGGAAATCAGAGAAGGAGTACATTTGGAATTCGGAAATTCAAGAATCCTCCCAATATTGAATTCAAGAATATGGCAATTCGGAATGAAGAAATTAAAGAATTCAGAAATACAGCAATTCAGAATAAAGACATTGAAGAATTCAGGAATCCCATACTTTGACAATTCAAGAATCTGGAAGTAAGAAATTTGCAAGTCCATGACTGCCGTCAACTGTGAATTCAGGAAAGGAATTCAAAGATTCAGGAATCCCCTAATTCGATAATTTAAGAAATAAAAGATACAGTACTTCTGTGATCAGGAAATCGGAGAAGGAGTACATTTGGAATTCGGAAATTCAAGAATCCTCCCAATTGTGAATTCAAGAATACGGCAATTCGGAATGAATAAATTGAAGAATTCAGGAATCCCACACTTTGACAATTCAAGAATCTGGAAGTATGAAATTTTCAAGTCCATGACTGCCGTCAACTGTGAATTCAGGAAATAAATTCAAAGATTCAGGAATCCCTTATTTGATAATTTAAGAA